ATCGGTTATCGGCAGGTCATATATCGTTTTAGGCCGATATATCGGATTCACCTAATATCGGCCGATACCGATAACCGATAAAATATCGTTGCATCTCTATTTTTAATATAAATTTTCAGAACATGTCACATCTGACAGTCACAAAAAACCTTGCTTTCTTTTCTGAGTTTTGTAATTATGGGGTGACTTGCTCTAATTTCAGACTTTTATTTCACCTATTGAATGAACATTATACTTAATTGATATGTTCTGCTATATGACAGAAATGTGACAATTAGTATGTGACTTTAACCTGAAGTTTCATGAAATGTCACATTTGATGCTTTTCTTCACATGCAGATGCACTACTAACAAAAGAGAGCTTGCAAGACTGGCTACTGGAATTGTCAGTCACTGCCTAGTCATAATTATTGCAGCTTGCATATGTTGATTTTAATTCATAATGCAGTTTAATACATTTTGAGTGTCAAGCATGTTACTTCAGATGTCATGTCTGACACTTTGGACAAAGCTAAATATAGTTGGACAAGGCTGGAATTTCTGACTTGTGTTTCAATATGCCAGTGTGAATCTTTCATCAATGTTTGTGGCACTATCACTTCAGTATGCTTCACAAGATTTCACAACGTAGAAATGTCAGAAATTTGATGCTGGGTTTTGGGAATATTTCACCTTATAGTAAATTTTGTTAGAAAATACATTTGACCCATCTGCAATCTAGTGGATGACTGTTTTATCTCCAATATAAAGCATCCCTTTGCCTCTTATCTCTGGTAACTAACAGGATCTTGATTGCTGTTAACTCGTAGGTCTCCCATGGCATCTGAGTATATAGCATAGACATTCTAAAAAGTGGTGGCAAGTCTGAACTACAGGGAGATGCTGAGTGAATGTGAATTCCAGATTCCTAGAAGCCTTAAGATGTGAATACTATGTGAAAATCAAAAGGCAAGGCACCAAACTTGATACAGAGTGTCTCTTTTAAAAGTATACCAGAGTTTTTATGGCCTAGAATGACATAGCCTTATAGGCCTAACTTGTGAGGCCTACAAGGCTATGCTATTCTAAGCCATAAAAATTGGGGTACACTTTTAAAAGGTGCACCCTGCATAGAAGTGAAGTGTAGTGTGCATGGAGGTTAAAAATGCCTCAAGAACTTTTTTTTATTAACCTTTAATTTGCTCCTTTTTTTTCTTTCTGTACACTTCTATTTTAAGTTTCTTTATAGATGTACTTGCTAAACTATTTGCTAAAAAGAAGTTCCCCTCATTTACTTTATAAGAATTTATTCTCAGACTTGTTTCTATTACTTTGGACAAATCCCTAATATACAGTGTATTTTGACACTTATTTGCAATTCAATGTTTGCAGTCTCAGTTGCAAACATTTGATTTGCATTAACTCATTCCTAGCAGTTAACAAAGATTAAACAAATATTATTCTCAAAGGTCACTTAGCATGTTCTTGCTGTTAGGCATCATGGCTGGATCAAACCGATCAGGAGACCTGAAGGATGCTTCGAAAAGCATTCCCATTGGAACATTATCTGCCACACTTACAACTTCAACTGTGTATCTGAGCAGTGTCCTCTTGTTTGCTGGTAGCATAAATGGACTGCTTCTTAGAGACAAGTAAGTCAGGAATACTTGCATGGGGTTCACAAAGAATTCTATTTCTTTTCAATACTATCCATCCTGAATCTTATAGGTTTGGGGAGAGTATAGGAGGAAAATTAGTTGTAGCCAACCTGGCTTGGCCAAACCAATGGGTCATTCTCATCGGATCCTTCTTGAGTACCATTGGAGCAGGGCTGCAGTCCCTGACAGGAGCACCCCGACTCCTTCAAGCAATCTCCCGTGATGAAATCGTCCCTTTTCTTAGACCTTTGAGTGTTTCTGCTGCAAATGGAGAGCCACGACGTGCCCTGCTTGTCACATGGGGTGAGACTTTCTTCCCTGGAACACTTCAAGAACTTTCAGAACAATGATGAACTTTTTTGAGCCTTTTTATTACAGCAATCTGCCAGATCACAGTTCTGATTGGGAATGTGGATAACATCACTCCCCTTCTGTCTTGCTTCTTCCTCATGTGTTATGGTTTTGTGAACCTTGCCTGTGCTTTGCAAACCTTGCTTCACAGTCCTAATTGGCGACCTCGCTTCAAGTATTATCATTGGTAAGTGGTAATATTGTCAGTGGAACTTCACCAGAAATTGAGGGTATGGAGTATTTCACATCTTGTGCTGCCTGTTTACAGGACTCTATCATTCCTGGGTCTGTCACTGTGTGCAGCGGTTATGTTCATGTGCTCTTGGTACTTTGCTCTTGCTGCAATTGGTCTTGCCATTCTCATCTACAAGTACATAGAATACCGAGGGTGAGTGATTTTTTTACTTTGGCATTTGATGACATGGAGCCTGGATTAATTAACTGGATCCTTGTTTCATGTATGTGCAGTGCTGAAAAAGAATGGGGAGATGGGATTCGAGGACTAGCACTGTCAGCTGCTCGTTTTGCTCTTCTTCGTCTTGAGGAAGGACCTCCCCACACCAAGAATTGGAGACCACAGATTCTTATCCTTGCCAAACTTGATGAACAATTTTTCCCTAAACATGAGAGGATGTTTGCTTTTGCCTCCCAACTTAAAGCTGGCAAGGGTCTTACCATGGCTGTTTCTGTCATTGATGGTGATTTCACCAAAAGGTATTTTCCCATCAGTTCATTTTTTTGCATTATCTTAGGTTTTTTTCCCATAGCAACCAATTTGTGTTCTAGGTATGGAGAAGCCCTTGCAGCCAAACAGAGCCTAAGGAATGTCATGCATGAAGAACGAGTGAAAGGCTTTGTGGATATTCTGGTTGCACAAGATGTTATTGAAGGCATGAGTTACCTGTGAGCTTATGTGCCTGTTAATTCCACTCATAGTGACATGCTTTTTTCTCTCTGTATTCAGAATGAATGGCTGGTATAATTGCAATAGGATTCAGATGAGTGGAATTGGAGGTATGAAACCCAACACAGCAATTCTGGGATGGCCTGAAAACTGGCGCCGTTCTTCAGAAGATCAATCTTGGAGAGTGTTCATTGAAGGTGTGAGAAATGTGGCTGCAGCCAAGATGGCTCTTCTTGTACCAAAGGGTATCAAAAGCTTCCCCAGCTCCAATGAAAAAGTCTGTTGAACTCCATTTTCCTTTTGCTGTGTGTTGATGTACCCTTTATTGCATCATGCCATTCTGTTGTAGCTATCAGGTTACATTGACATCTGGTGGATAGTTCATGATGGGGGTCTCCTTATGCTTCTCCCATTCTTGCTCTGCCAATGCAAGACGTGGCGCAACTGTCGCCTCCGTATTTTCACTGTTGCTCAGCTTGAAGACAATTCCATACAGATGAAGAAGGATCTGAAGACATTCCTCTATCACCTGCGAATTGAAGCTGATGTTGAAGTCATTGAGATGGTCTGTTTAGTTAACTGCTCATTTAGAAAGCTCTGTCTGTTGAGTCAGAGATTTTGTTATTTAATCTCTTCCAGACCGACTCGGATATTTCTGCTTACACATATGAACGAACCTTGATGATGGAACAGAGGACACAAATGATTCGAGACCTTGGACTCACACGAAAGCAAAGCAAGCACTTGGTAAGTAGGATATAATTGGTTTGTGTTGCAACTGCATTCCATCTACTTGCACAGATGACTTAATCACTTCCTGCATTCTATTCAACAGCAGCCAAGCACAGTGCCATTATTAGTGGACCCCTTCTTATGAGAACTGTTAATGTTATTCCTGCCTGGTTTTATTTAGTGGGATCTGTATATTGTGAGGGGAACTGTTTAATTTACCCTTATCTTATGGGATGTATGTAGAGGAAATCTATTGAAAATTGAATATTGAAAAATCTAACTTTTAACTATGCATTTCCATCTACTCTTTTTTCAGCATTTTGTTACTCACATTCTGCCCTGTGTGTTGGAGACCTCATTAAGTTCTCCTCTCACCTTACTCATTAAAGTACTTTCAATTTGCAGTTTGCTGATGGAGAATGATATCTCCAACCTACATTATGTCAGGGATTAGGCTGCAACAATATCAGTTTTTACTAATAATTGTAGATTCCCTTGATGGAAAACCACCTACCAATATTGCTAATTCCCATGAATTTAATTTTTTCAGACTATCCATTGTGCCCACCTCTTCAGTGTATCCTGAATACAATTGGGTATTGTATTTTAGGCACACATCTAAACCAATCAGATTACATTACATGTCACTACCTCTCACACACTTCATTCTTCCATTATAGTACTTCATGAGACCTTTCCCTTGCACACCATGCACACTGCAGCCTCCTACCTCTCTTCATTCTTGCATCATTGTCCAGTTTAGACTCGTGTGAGGCGAGACTCAACTTTTGCTCTTGAGTTCCAACATTATGGAACAGCTGGAGTGGGAGTAAGAATTTATTGCGTGTACTCCTTTTATCCACAGATGCTGTTTTTTGCATTTTCCCATGCAATAGGTTTAACTCCCTTGGCCACATCATAATTTTCACCTTTTTTAAATGTAAGATGTCATTGATAGGTGACCTGAATATGTGGGGTGGTAATAAAGTTGTGCAATCAAAAGTTCCTGAAGGTTTAAGAGTAGCAACTGATACCAGGGCAGTTTTTCTGGTTCACATTAGATTTTCAATTGCATTTTATCTCTTTGGTCTCATGTTTGTATCTTAACCACATCAGCTTCTGGAGAGGGGTATGTGAAGGGGAATTTTCCACTGGTGAGTTTCTAAATGGGTTTTGCAAATGAAGGATCTTGCATCTATACTTTCACTTGCTTGAAAGCTTGGATACCAAGCAAAGGAACTCCAAGGAAAAGAACTTGGGAATTTGAGACCAAAGATAGAAGCATTGAGAGTGGTGTTTCACCTTAACTATGCTGACTCTCACAAGCTGAAGATGCTTGTATCCTACCTAAGCCAGCAGGACATCTCTCTTCTCCACTATCCACCCTCCTATCCTGATTTGACTTTCTGCACATTCTGGCTGTTCCCTCAGCTGAAGTTTAGAATTGCTGGAATATCATTTTCAAGGCTAGATGAGCTTGCAAAGGCTCTAAAAGCATTGTTATCTAGTATTCTTGTGCTTGACTACTATGAAGTTAGGATGCACCAATATCAATACTTTGTAACAGTGTTAGCTGATATCAGGCAGATCAGCCAGGATTGATATAAGCAGATACCAATGTGGCAGATCCAATCTGATCCTCTGCTACCACATGCTGTGATTCCCCTAACAAGAGTACCTTCAGAAAGGGTGCTTAGTTGCTATGGTGCCATTTGCAACTCTGAGATGAACAGGTTGCATGCTTGCATTCTTGAAAATGAACAAGTCTCTCTTGTCTTTCAAAGTCTTTCTTGTCTTGTCTCTCCATCTCATGAATAACATCTCAGGAAGCCAGGAATTAGAGCATTTCACTTCTGGGTTCAGACACCCACTTGAAGGTATTGATATTGGGATCAGTATCTGCCAATACTAAGCCACAGGAATTGGTGTCAGTATCGGTATTGGATACACCTGGATTGGTGCATCCTTACGATGAAGCTCTCCAAAGGTAGAAAATGAAGATACTGCTGTGCATAGGTGCCAAGAGGGAATACTTTGAGAAACTCAAGAAATTTTGACTCATTCTTGTGTCAGAGAACTATCTGATAATGCTGCTTTATTTCCAGGAAATATCAAGTATTTTCCCTGGAATAAAGCTGCATTATTGGATAGTTCTCTGTTCAAAAATCCACCCTTACATTTTTTTCTTAACCCAATTGAGACAGAGGTCAGGTCCAAATCAATTTGCTATGGGGTTCCAATCTTATGCCCTATCCTGGGAGTCTCACTGCCTCTGGCAAGAGGAAAGCAGGACTCCACATCAGCAGAAATGCATGGTTCCACTTGTGGCAATGATGCCATGATGAAGGGAGGGAACTGCACCACACATGGTGTGAAGAGGGAAGGTCTGCAAGTGCAAGGCATGCACTTTAGCTCATCTGATGCCAAACTGAATGGATGAAGCTACTCTTCAATTTTGTCTTGATGGGCACTGTTGAAAATATTCTGTGGTCTTCATTATGTCTGCTTATTTTTTATGCATAAAACATAAGGCATAAGGAAGATAAGAGTGTGAGTCCAAGATCAAGCAATGAGTGAGGGAAAAAATGAAGTGGGAACTAACTGAAGTGATGGACTGATACTCATTCCCTGACACTTTCTTGTAGGCTTAGATATATGGGGAAGAAAACATTAAACCTCTATTAATTGGATAAGTACTGGAAGTGGTGTGATGTGACTGCTGTGTCATTATGTATTGAGTATTAATAATTCATGATGGTTTGCTCAGGAAGCTGATTAAACTCTTACAGAAATGGTTATTTGAACCATTAAGGCATTGCCTTAATCCAGTGATATTATTTGATGGCCAAACTTTGTGCAGTTCTGAGAAGTGGAACTTAACAATTTGTGGAGATTTTCAACCAGGAACCATTTTGGATTGACACAGCTTAAGCAAGGAATTCAAATGCCAGGTGAATTTTGATAACAATGACCTATGAGGATGATTGAACAGAGCAACCATGATGAAACCTTCTCTGTACTCCAACTATGAGGAGGTCTAACTCCTTGAAGGTACAGTCATGGGAAGGGGTAAGGGCTATTTCTGTGTTCATCAGTAGCATTAAATTTGCTGGCATGGCTGCAGGAAGTGTTTTTTCTTTCAGGAAAAAAAGTAAACCTGAAGTGTTCCATACTTGTAAAATGAATGGTTTCTGGCTTCTGTTTTCTCTCTCACATTTGCTGGGCTCAGGTCATCCCACTGCTGGGGATGCCAGCTGTCAACGAGGAGGTAAATGCTCTAATGCCCAGCATGAATCATTTTGAATATGGACTGGTAGAAAAGCCCATTGTGGTTACAGGGCCCTATAGTTGTACTGTACTTAGATTTTACCCTTGAATTTTGAGCCTAACAGAGTTATACATTTTGTTGGATGCCATCTTTCCCTCTCCCATAACTGAAAGGCTTATGATCATTCACCTGCATGAATGTCTCATGTTGTAGATGACTGTATGATGTTTCTGGTATCAGATGTATGCATGCTTTTCCCATTGTTTTGGAGGATGAGATAATCAGTATTGTTTTAATGCTAGCAGACATCTGAAAAGCCGTAACAAATCCTATGAAAATAAAATGGAGTGGAGAGCCCCTGTCTCTCATCCTGAGGTCATTAAGTAACCTAAAGAAAAATAATTTTCATTCCTAATAGGTTCAAAATATCATGGACCTACATAGAGCAACTGATGTTGTGGAAAAGGAATCAAAAGTTCAATTTCGCTTGGAAGAACTTCCAATAGAAGATCATGAAGAGAGAGAGACAACATCCTCACCTCCTCCTCCTCATTCTCCTGACTTCTCAAAGGTGAGATCTCTGTACATTTTCCTTGATTTGCTTCAAGGTCTCTTCTCATGTGCCAAATTGGAAACAGGACATGGCCAGTGATCACCAACACACAAAGGAAGATGAGCCAGACCATGGCAAGCTCTCTCCCATTCCCAAAAATCAAAATGAGGGTGTTAGGAAAGACAATTCATTTACACGTCTTCTGAAACTGAAACCGTGAGTCCAGCGTTTGTGGCCAGCACTTTCTTTTGATTAGGATTTGTCTTATGAATCCTTCCCTTGTTCCATAGGACGGAGGCCAATGTGCGTAGAATGCACACTGCTGTAAAGCTGAATGAAGTGATTGTTTCCCGAAGTCATCAGGCTCAATTGGTTGTACTCAACTTACCTGGGCCTCCAAAGGCCACCAAAAAAGGCTCAGACTTGAATTGTATCCTTTTCTTCTTAATTACAGTCATGCCATGTTTACTGCTTTCATTTTCTGGGTTTTTGGGAAAACTTTTTGCATTCTTTTGCTTTTTTGTAGGACTGCCAATAGCATACAAAATTAAATAAATTAATCACAAGCCATTAAATTGATTTCTCAAATTTTAATCGATCCCATGGTTCCTCCTTGAATCATGTCCTATGTGTTGGGAATGATTCTGCTTGTGTCATACCCAATGCCTGGGCAAGCCTCAGGAAGTGACTCAAGGCGATGCAGTCACTACCATAGCAGTTACTATTGACACATACACTAGTTCATCCTACAAGTGATACATTCCAGTTGGAAAGAAAATAGTTACAACTTAGCCAGATGAATAATAAAACATAAGCAAAAAAGCACATTGAGGCCCTTTGCCATTTAGCCAACCCATACCAAAAGGATGCAAAAATGTAATCTAAATGATTGGAAGTATACAATGACACTTAATTATGCTGAAATTAAAATATTTTAGTTCATTATGTTTATTAATGATTTACGCACAACACAGAATGAAAAAGCAAAAATAGAAGCAAACAAGGAATAGGAGAGGGCTTCACACTTTTGTTTCCACTCACCTTTCCCAGCTTTCCCCCTCTCACTGTTACTTTTCATGGACTCCCACAGACATTTGCTGATGCACTTACACATGCCTCTCACTCCCCAGTCTTTACATTATCCTCTTTCTTGCTTCTCCAGTCCCATACCCCTGCCCAACTCCCCTCTTCCTTCTGTGCTTTCCTTTGCAGCTTCTTCATTGCCACTTTCTTTTCACCATTTGCATCCAGTGACTTTTTGGTTGCTCTGCCCTAGGCTGATGTAACCTACTTAGCCTGATGTGCAAGACCTGCAATGCTATACCTTTAAAGGCTGTAGGTTAGGCAGAAGGACACAGGATGTGTACCAGTATGCTTGTGGATGGGAAGGGGTCAGGAAGCTTTTTTTTTTTTTGGAATAGTCTGAAAGCAATGGCTTTGTTTTTGTTTGTTCCCTTTTCAAAAATTGTGTCATTTTGAGGAAGAGTAAGCTGTGCAAAAAGAACTACCTTCAATAAGCCATCATTACATTTCATTCCCTTGATAAAGCATTCATTTTCATTTGTTTTTTTGCAAAACTATGAACTACACAGTCAAATTATATGGGAGAAAGCCATTCAGAGGTAGATTAGGGGGTCAATTAAAATTCGATTAATTTTTGCAATTTTTTAAAATCATGATTAATACTTTAATCAGTCTATTAATTAATTGAATTGACAGCCCTACTTTTTTGTAACGTGTGTTCATGAAATGCTACTCTATGGACAGCTTTTTCTCCAATTAGTTTACATGACCAAATTGTTATGTCTTATTGGGTATCAATCTCCTACTTCAAAATGGCCCTTCAGATGAGATTTGGCCTGGTTGTTATTCATCAGAAAACATTCTTGGCTGTTTATCTCCTTGAAAACCCATAGCAAGACAAGAAGTCCTAATTACCCTGATCTGAAATTTTTTAAGCAATAGAGGTTCAGCTTGCTTGGGCAACTCATCCTGGAAATGAACCCTGGTGTCATTTCATATGAACTCAACCAGGCAGCAAACCTGACCAGTTTGGGATTTCATGATTAAGATTTCATAATTATTGCACGCAATTTAAAAACTGAGTGGAAAAAATCAGTCCCATCAGATCATCAGATAGCAAGATATCACCCCCAAAGTTTGAGGAAAATTGGATAACTGCCATGAAGGGTGAAATTACCATCTTAGGAACTATTCATTGTACAGAGGCCTGTAATAGCTTGAACTGGAGCTCTGAAACAGGTGAACAAATCACTCCATACATCACAGTTTGAATGATATATCAACAATTCAGTTGAATGTGAAATTTATGCAATTTTGTCTCTATCTCCATAACCCCATGTGGCAGGAGAATAAAAGTTGCTCATTTCAATAAGTTACCCTTCTCTTTGATATGAATTGATGAATCAAGTTATTTGTTTGACTTTTTGTCCCCCACAGGAAAAAAATTCCCTGAAAATTACAAATTTTCAACTTTCTGACCAATTTTGATTGATGATTATTCAATGTGGCACACTGTGTGTAGCATCCTGGTTAGTACCATTGGAAAGGTCAGTTTGAGACCTTTCCAACAACTTATGACCTATCATACATTTTTTGAAGAAAAAGAGGGAATTAAATTTAAAAGTTGTATATTCAACTTTTCAATTTTCATTCAGATGGCAAAAAATAGGGGTCTGTTGCTGGAAAGATCTTTCAGAACTCTATATGATGGCATGAAGAAATCACAGTCATTGCATGCAAAGTCAACATTTGAGAGCCAAAGTGCTCCTCAGCCCAACCTTCCTTAAGTGATGTTAGGTGCACAAAACATGCATTGCCAGAAATCTGCATACTAAGAAGCCAATATGCTCCCAAATAATCATAATTATAATTGTAATTATGAATGCATCTTAATATAGCCAGCATTTGTGGCTATGAATTTCTGCCACCTCTGTGCTAACTGTGCTTTTAATGTTGTCATAATATTTTCCATGCAAAGCATGTTTCTCGGTGCTAAACAAATGAAAGTCAGTAGGAGCTAAATCTGGCTGAAAAACATGATGGAATTGATGAAGGCATCCAGACAGCTTAGACTGTATAAGCTTGAAACACCATACAACAGTTTTTGAACAGGGCACATTCTAGTTGGTACTTGACATAAATGCAATTCCAAAAAAGGTGACTGTTGAGAAGTAATCCTTGTCGCCTTGGATTATGCATTACAAGCAGATGTCTGTTAAGTGTCATTTTTAGCAATAAAATCTTTTTTGCAGTTTGTACTCTTAGTACTCTTCAAACTGCAAACCATGAAGGTTTGCAGTTTGAAGAGTAGTATTTTCTCTTGACATGCTACAAATATATAAATTTCAACTCTGCTCCAGAAAAGTATGAAGTCTTCCATAAGAGTTCTAAGTACAATGTCATTCTGAATTTGCTGTACAATATACATATTGAGTGCACAGTGAGCCATGGCATTCTCTCCCCTATCTTCCTGAACTAATATATCCACAGACATGGAATTCTTGGAGGTCTTGACAGAAGGCTTAGAAAGAGTGTTGATGGTGCGAGGTGGTGGACGGGAAGTGATTACCATCTACTCATAATTGAAATCTAGTCTTCAGGAGGACCACAAGTGTTCTCTGAACTTTTCTTACCTGGAGTAGAGGAAATCAGGCTTTTCTACTCAAATGTAGCAATTTGAAGTTGCATTGCATGTGCAGACTGTCTTCCTCTGCACAATGTATGCTACATTGTGTTGCCCTTCCTACAACTCTCAGCTCTTGTGATGAGTTTTTGTTGTTCATACTTTTCCCTCCATCATAGTTTCTATTTTTATCATTTATTTTGGTCAGTATTAAAATTCCTGCATGTTTTTTTTTCCCCTTTGGAAGATAGAGCAGGGCTCATCATCCTCTTCATTTGTTGGACTTTCTGTCATTTTTTTGTGTGCAGGGATGTGGGTCATTAACATTTCTGAATTTATGTAGTTCTTATTTCTTCATGAGCAGGAGTTTGTCATTCCAAGTGTGTGTTCTACCTTCCCCAAGCAAAGGGAAGTTCTGCTGTTCCAACACTCAGATTGTGCTCTCATTTCATTGCTTGCCAGAATCTTGGAAGCACAATCCCAGTTTTCAAACTAAATTCAGTGTTTTTCTTTCTTGATAATTCTAGGGAAGCACCTCAAGTGCTTGTCAGTCCAGCCAATGAGTGTCTGTGATCCTGTCATGGCTTTAATAATCTTATTTCTTGAATTTCCTTTTTTGTTCTTGATTGCATTCGCACTCAGTCTCATTTTCCAATTCACTCCCATTTACTTGTAGTTCCATTCAAGGGACCATAATGTCAATGGCCAAATGCACCTCTTCCAGATTTTGCTCATGTATTCGTGATCTTTGGTCCTCTACCACTTCCCCTAACCTTTGACATTGCAAGAAATTTCATTCTTGAACATAACTGTAACTTTATGAATATGAAATGAAAACATACATTAATTTGCTTTTGAGACAGCCTTAGCTGATTTTCCAAAAATTGCATGGTCATTATTTTCAGCAACATAATGCTAATCATACACAAGAAGCTGTAGCTGTCTTTCTCAAGTCTTCAGTTGTTGCAGCTATTTATTGACAGGATTTGATTTTGCTTGCATTGGACCATAATTTTAGTATTCATTATTCATTACCAGTAAGTATTCAGGTGTCCAGTTTATCTTGTTGACTTTTTTTGACTGAATATGGTGGTGAAAGAGAGATTTTGCTGATGATTTTGCTTCATCTGATGTTGAGCTATGAAAAAGTCTGGTTTTCATGCAGGCTATCAAGTAGGTCAATGACCCACTTGTCATTTTTTTCTCTGACATCAGACTGAGTTCAAACCACAAAGAGAATATTTTGGCCTCCCTTTCAAAGATCCCTAGAGTCACCAATTCCCCATTGAAGAAATGTGAAAGAAGGAAGCATTTCTCTAGAACTGCTAAGAAATGGTTAGCCTTGAATTTTGCTTCTGCTTGTTAGGAAAAGAGTTAAATCATAACAGCAGGTTTTTCTGATGGGGTACCATGAGGTTAAGTAGAAAATGGGGAGAGAATTTGAAAAAGAATATTTCAGACACCCTCTGAATTAGGCCTTTTTCTTGAAGTCACCTGAAGTTCAGGATTGATGGTCACCTATAAAAAAAAATTCTGGCTTCTGACTAAAATGTCTCAAGACCACAGAAGAAAGACTTCATTTTATAATTATCCTTCATTTTGTGACTGATCATCAGCAACAAGTGGGGGGGGGGATTGAAGCTTGGATTCAAGAAATCAACAATGCTAGTTCATTGTCTCATGCTCAAACCTGAAGGTGGATGGCAACAACAATTTGAAATTGTCAGTTGGGAGTCATGGGTAATCAAGAATCATAATCCAGTTCAACTTTTATATTATATGTGACAACTGCCTTGTGCTATGATATTGCTTAGCAAATGAGATGTGACTTCCAATCTAATCAAGCTCCTACGTTAGGGATTCCCAGTCTATATGAAATCCAAGTCTTCAATCTTCCATTAAATATTTTTCTTCTGATGCTGGAATGGGCAAAAAATCACACTCCAGAGTCAAGGTTTCTTGCCAGAACCCTGCTTCCTCCTGCCAGTTGCATACAATCAAATGCTCAGTAATCAACAACCAGACTCATTACATACTAGTAATTTTCTACTTGTACTTCCTGCCTGGGAAGGGTTCACACTTAATTCTATTGGATTCTCATGCCTTTAATCTCTTCAGGACAGGTGCAGAGAAAAACTAGGAAAACCCCCCCATTGCTCCAGCTCAACTACATTCAAGCCATCTCTATTTCTCTTCCCCGATATTGAATCCAATCTTTATGAAAGTTGTTGTTGAAAATGTTAAAATGTAACTCTATCCCAAGAAAGCACTAGATGAATTCAAGGCTGACCAGTGCTGCATATGTACCCTCATTTTGGAGTTTTCCATTAAAGACACAGTGGGAAGGTTTTGTGCTCTCTCTCTTGCCTGGAACTCGGAATTGCATTTTATTTTATTTTGACACGTGTCCATGCCAAATGCATGTTTTCCCATTGTGTGTTCTTCCTTGTATATCTGTTCTGTGAGGGAATACATTGCTCAAACTAGCTCTATACAATCAGTCTTGCAAACTCATGTGACCTCAATGTCCAATCAATCTTGTTTTTTGCAAGTGCTTGGGAGGAGTTGATAGAATTTAGCAGACTCATAATTGGTTGCTTTTTCAGAGTCAGAGTCTGTGGTGTCCATGCTTGTCTGTGACTTTCATGAAACTGGCTCATGTTGCTTTTAGAGTTTCTGGTAATGGAGAAAGTGTGTGATATATCAGCCATGAAAGGCTTCCCCTGAAGTTTTCAAAAAGAGAGGCAGATATCTTGAGTGCTTGTAGTTGTGCTTGTGGCAGGTTCCAGTGTCTCCATACCTGTGCACATGGTTGTTCTGGCCTACCCCATCTCGTTGTCTATCTGTCCAGTCCCCAGGGAAAGCAGGTTGCATTTTTTGTAAGCAGAAAAATAATTTGTTTAATTTATTCTGCTAAGTTATTCATGACTGATAGAAACCACCAGCAGGAATGTATTGGCATTCCCCTCTAGTCAGTGAAGAAGAATCTGTCTTATGCGCATTTAGAGTAAATAGGACGTGCCTTTCCCTACCTTTCTCGGTCCCTTGCTTCTTCCTATTCTCTCCTGGCAGTAGACAGCACTCACATATGTTGATTGGTGAGACATTTGTTGATTAATAGAAAAATAAATTGTTAGTGGAAAAATAAATTGAGTTTTTTTTTCCCGCCAGTGGAATTATTGTATGCACATTTACATATCGCGAGACCTCTCGTTGCACGAGAGCAGTTGGATGCCAACCGTATCACAGGAAGACATCAGAGAGTTTTGGTTACCCATCCTTGAGAGGACGGCTGACGATACTTGTGACGTCACCAGCAGTTTTAAAACGCGTGAGGAAGACGTCTAAGACGTGGAGGGACTCTTCCAGCCGTTCTATCAGGAACGTGAACGCGACGCAAGATCCACCAATCAGGAACGACCTGATAGGCGCGTGAGCTTCGGTACAACGCGTGATTCGTTCAAGTCAGTCATCCAGGAAGGAAAGCTACTATTGATGGCGAAGGAGCTGAAATTCAAGGCACAGTATACCTGGGTTAGATTTCTAGACAATTGTCTCGCGTCTGCAGCAAGGGTTTCCCGACTGATAGAAATGTACGTTTTGCTCGAGATGGGTTTCTGGACAATTGTCTCACATCCACAACTTGGGTTTTCGCCAAATATCCCCCAGGACAGCAACCGACATGTCCTCTTCGCCATCAGAGAAGTAGGATGCATAGGACCCAGACGTGAACTTCGGTTACTTTGCCATAACAGTACCAGAAAGGAAGCCTAGTATGTTATTGGGGATGGTGAATGATGGGATATTAGAACAGAGGAACTCTGGTTGTAGCCAAGGATTGCAATGCCTACATGCGACCATGATGAACAAAGGAGTCGAGAACGTTAGTCCAATAGGCAAACTGAGACATACGAGGTCTGGCAGTAAAGTTCCCGGGCTGATTTTTTTGCGAGTGTCAATATCACAAAAATTATTTTCATTCCATGGACTGATTGATTAGACTGTTGGGCAGTGTTGTGTCAGTTCTCATCTGACTAGCATCTTGAATGAGAGTTTGGCTGGCAATGTAGCAACGCAGTGTCACATTTTGTCGCGATCCTGGGAATACAGCTGTAGCGATCCATCAAATGTTGCAAGAATTGTCTGGTCATACTCCAAGAATCGTGAGTAGTTTTCAAGGCTTTCAGTCAGTAGAAATGACATTGAAAATAATGATTTATTCAACCATCCCTTGGGTGAATGGTTGGTGATGGTTGGGGTTGAGGTGGATCTGAGTGTCTTCACTACTTGCTAAAGGCCTTGAAGGTCATTCAAAATTATTGAGCATAACAAGGAACTTTTCATGACACTCCGTTCCAGATCTGGAACGTGTAGCCAAACTGCCATTCGAAAATCTAGAACTTGAACGCCTAGTAATACGTTCGCGTCCCCGTCCTCCTCAAAAACGGGTTACCAAAACTCTCTATTATCCAAATAAAAAGGCTTGTGGGATGCCACCACTCCCTCCCTCAATTTGAGATGCCATGAAGTATCATGAAGAAATGATTGAGAATGGTAGCAAAATAGAGCAATACCTGAAACAGCTTGTCATTTTTAAACCAGGGATTCGAGCTTACTACTATGGGGCATGGTGGCATGTCATGTAATGATACTATACTTTTATTTTTGCCTGGCATTGTTTTCAAGGAGGCCTATGATTTCTAGCCACAGCGCAGTGGTACAGATAAATTTTTTAGAAGGGAGGGGCCGAAATTAATTTTTATATGAAAACTGTCAACACGTGATGGGAATGTAACAAAAATGACACGCAGTCGAAGATGACGTGTGCTGACTATTTTCGCAGTTTCAGGAATTTTGACACCGAATTGACATCGAAATTGGCAAAACATTACTATATGCAGTGACCTTAAAGAAAGTTGCATCATATTCTGAAGTAATATTCTCGTGAGGATAACAACGCCAAAGTTTCCAAGGCACTTTCAGTTGTAATACACCATTCTTACTTTTCTCAGGGAAGACAGATATCTTTGATGGTGACTGGCAACATTTCTTTTAATATTCGGTGATGGTCAGCTATGAATTTTTTTCGATGTGCTACCAAAGGGTCTGCCGAAGGGGTATTAAAACAGATGAATGCGGTGATGAATTTCCTAGCTCTGAGGGAGTCGACCTCCCCAGCAGATCTCTCAGCGGCTGAGCGGACAGCGTCGTAAAAAATGTTTTCTTTATTGGCTTATCTGAACAGGAAGGGACTCTGTTAGTAAACTCTTGGAGAAAATCTCTCCAAGTTCGACATTGAAACGCTGGAGGTGGCCAAACTTTATATCACTTTTTTGTATCAGGCAGAAGAAAGAAATGCTGGATTTGGTAAAATGGAACTCCTTGAAACCCCAAAATAAACCAAATTCTTGGAAGACCTTTATTTTTATAATTTGCTATAGTTTGCCTAGAAAATGGAGAAAATTGGATGGAAATTTTTTTTTTTTTCCTTTTCAAATTGAGATTCAAATTGAGTTCAGGAAGAGAATCAATGCGCATAGGCTCAATCGTCCTTGCCCTAATTTAGATCTCCTGAGGTGTTTTGATGTCTGGTGGGTGAATAGCATTGACTTAGACATGGCACTAGAGCAGTGGTTCACACCGTTGAATTAGTAACGGCACACCTTTCGAGCCGCGAGTGTTGTACTTCATCGAACCACCGCAAACAATAATAGCCAAAATATGAAAGAATCAGGATCTTAAAAATTCGTTCATAAAAGGTTTATTCCAGTGCAACACAAGAATCATGGAATTCAAGTTGAAGACGTTGATTCTTAGGATAGGCCGATTGGTCGCCATTACGACAATCTTTTTTCAGCCTACATAGCAGGCTTTCTGCCAAGGCTTCTCTTAGCTTCTCTTCTCCCCCTATCCCCAACAGGAACAAGGAGATTCCTGATATTCCAAGCACAAGCATCTGAGCGCAGCCACCTCGTGGTAATATCTCATACGTTCCCTTGAAATCTGGTTGGAAAAGTGTTGAATTCAACATTTATTTCGGGAAAGTATAGGTTATTTGCCTTTTTTTTTCCTTTTCTGTCACTTGCTTTTTTCTCCATTCGATTTGATGGGCAGTGCCCCCTTTGCGCACACCCGGCTCCCTCATACGCCCAATTGTGCACACCAGAATCTAAGTGAGACACGTAGCTCATGCGCACAGCTCACGTTACCCCCAGATGTCCACTTGTCACAAGATATTACGAAGATAAGATAGAGAAGTCCAGAAACAAATAGCTTCGAGTGGAATGGTCTAGTCATGTTCATCAATCCTCTTCAGCTCAACTCCCCTGCATAATGTAATAAAAATGGATATTTAAAAAAATAATCATACAAAAACTTCGTCAAGAATTCATGATTTTTTACATCATGAGATGCACTAATTTTCCTTGTGGAACAACCATGTACCGGTGGGAGACCGCTTTCACCAAATCTAGCCTTAAGATGAGGTCTTCCCGATATTGTTAGATATATTGATCATGAAATTTCGACCGCAGCTTTATTTGCTACGGCACATGACGAGCCCCTTCACGTGCTGCCGTCATCTTCAAGTAGACCTCTGCCCTTCATCCAGGGTGTCGATGAAGTTGAACACATGGAGATGAGAAGCATACAATAAAAGATTGAAGTGAGCATAAAAACGTTCACATGCATTCGTGGTGCAATTCGACGCACCGCTAGGAGGATCCATTTTGACTACCGGCACTCCCTTTTCTTTATATTTAAAAACCAGCTGTGCTAGGTGTGTGCAAATGGGCCCTAGGGAATAAAGATATGATCAAGGGCATGATAAGGGACTCGCTGTTATCGGTTTCAGTCATCAGGGAAAACCGGGAACGTGTGCCCAATTGGGAAACACCAGATTTTAAATGTGTAACGTTCACGCACTGCTTCATATTCATCATCCGATTTGTAATACGTTTTTGCTGAACTGAATTATGGGAATGTTATTCTTAATTGTATGAATCTCCAATAGGACTCGTAAAGGAACTAATAGGAATCCTATATGACCAGTAGAGTTCCTATAGGAAACGCACGGGATCAAATTTGACCTTCGATTAATCTTTATGTGAGGCTACAGGATCTAGGTTCTTATGTGGTTCTTATCGAGCAGGTCCTCAGGCAGGGATGGAACTCTTCGGGGCAACCGACGGGTTTCCTTTGCCCATGTTTGGGACGAGTGGTTAAGGTGTACTTAATTCATATCTCCTTGACGTAGCATGCAGAATGGCGTATGTTTCAGTAGATATTCCCAAGAAAGCAGGTGGATCACCTGTAGGCAGAAAAGAAACCCCAGCGCCTCCTGGGCTTGGTCCTCTGTCTCCTGGGTTTCATTCGGAATCCTGAACCATACGGCCGCTGAAAATAGCTTATTCTCCAATTCCCTGCCGCTCAAGTCGCCTCCCTCCTCTCCCTCCTTGTCTTCCTACCCCTAGGCAGTTTCTGACGGAGTCCTAGACAGAGGCCTGGTTCAGCTCGGATTTCCATTGCCTTTCGTGAACGACCCCTGACTGTGACGTCTGTGTCAGTGAGAGGTGGGTACATTAAAATGAAATATTTTAACTTCTATTCTGTGAAGATATTTTAGCGTAATGGGTCATCTGAGTCGAATATATCTCCTTCATTATATTCATAGATGACCATGGTGGACCAGTGCATTGCCAAAATGAGCCAACTGGCGAGGCTCACCCTGGAACTTAAAAGGCGTTTCACGTTTTGCGTGTCATACGTCCTTTGCGTCAATGCTGGGGCAGGCAGACAGGCGCGCGCGTGCTCACGTATGTCAGCACGCTTGCCCTTTAAGGGTTTTCACAAAATGCAAGGCTTGCGTGCGGAATTGGGGTGAGCTCAATTGAAAACGCAAGCTTTGCGTTTTGTGAAAACCCTTGAATGTAAGTGGACACGCGTGTGGAGGTGAGTGTGCATGCATGTTTCTGTCTGCCTGCTTCAGCATTGACGCAAAGGACGCATGACGCGCAAGGTGTGAAACGACCTTCAGATCCCATTAAGAGCGTCGAACTATGTGACTCATAAAACGTTTATCTAGTTTTATCTGTCTTGTAGCATTTTCTCGTGCATTCATGTTGACTACCTAGAGTGCATTGA